CCCCCTGTTTGAATTTCATCCTGGGGAGAACCCTGATGTTAATATAGCTAAGTCATTAAAGTTACACAGCTGTATCTTTACTATACTGTATTACCAGTAGGTATAGCCTATCATAGATTTTAGATCTGTATTAGTAGTATCCTAGATATATGCTCTGAGCGCGAACGCGGTGGCAGGAGGGCGCACTTGATTCGGTTGCCAGTGAGTTTATCAGAAGAATACCTGGCTACAGTACACGTCAGTTGAGCGGTGTCGCTCTGCGGCACTTGTTTTTTAAGTATTATACTTTTTTTCAAGAAAATACACTTTTTATACTTTTTTCATGCATAAATACTTTTAAATACTTTTTTTCGCCAAAGATGGTCAAAACTCGTCAGACTTACATTTAGGTACACTATATTTGATGAGATTAAAGATGTGCTTTGCTAGTCTTGTTGCAGAAGTGATGTGTGCTCTGTTCAGTGGAGTGTTTTTGCTCTCAGCTCTCTGCTGTCAGTGACCAAATGACAGAGCATTGCAGTGTTTCCCCTGCATTGACACGAGCGAGGGGGGCCACCTCGCTCAAATTCTCAGCCGTCACACAGAAATTTGTCAAAAAAACCGCCTCGCTGACGAAACTTTTGGCAACTTGAAAAGAGATTCAAGAATCTCATACAATGTGTCCATAATAGATTAGAATGCACCAAATTGCACCATTTTTTCAAAAATTTCCTGGGGGGGGGGCATTTAGTGCCCTAGGACCCCCCTAACTGGCAAAGCACGTGCACTCCTTCCTTTGCTAGGACCTTGAAACACAGAAACACCACAAAAAAAATTACCGCCTCACAGACTTTCCTGGCCAAGGGATTGCATTGCATATACCAAACTGAGGGTTCAAGAGACAACTCCTCAAGACATTGCACACATAATTCCTGAAGCTTGTTTACATGCTGCACATAGGCTATAAGGTATAAGGTAACAACTTAACAAGTGACTACAAATCATGGTAGGTGATACAAATTTATACTTTTTTTAGACGATTGTGATACTTTTGTCTGGACAGAGTTTAAAAATTTTTTGTAATATCCTGAGTGGCAGCACTGCTAATGTTAAGAGTAATCTAAAATTAATGCAGAAAATCATGCTCGTGAAGAATGTTAACTCGGTGCCACCTAAAAAAAGTGAGGGAGTAGTCTACTCGAATATTACATCAGATCAGCAGAAAAATCGTTGGTCTCGTTCAGGTGGTGCCGATGCAGAATCTGTCGGACGGTCAGCGATGCAGGGTGTCGTTTGCGTGGCTCGCCTGGTCAGCGCCGCACATGCTGCTGCTGGACGAACCGACGAATCACTTGGACATTGAGACAATCGACGCGCTCGCCGCAGCAATCAACGAGTATACCGGCGGCATCGTGCTAGTCAGTCCAGGACGAAATTAATGAATTATCACGTATTTGATAGGATTCATTCTGCTTGCAGGGATATTCACGGATGTTTGGCTGACGTCTTTTCTGTTTCATTCCCAGAAATATCTAAAACATAAATTCCATGATTATTTGAGTATAAAAACACGTATAAGGCCTCACAATGACAGCGCTTGAGGAGATCCATGTAATTGTTATTTGCTCATATGTACATGCTCACGTCCTCACGTCCTCATGTGTGCACGCGCCTGTAAGTCCGAGCTGCTTTTAAACATATGCTTCGCTCTCTCCTTCTCGGCGCAGGAACAACGAATGGCGTGAAAGCGGCGACAAACGGCGTAGATCGGCTGGCGCTTGACGACCACTCACGCGCGTGCACGGGCGCGCTCGGCTCGCACCCGCGCAGCCTCGACTTCAAGCTGATCGGCTTCTCCGTCACCTTCCACGGACAGGAGCTGCTCGTCGACACACACCTCGAGCTGAACTGTGGTCGCCGGTACGGCCTCATCGGGCTCAATGGCAGCGGTGAGTGATATATACTAGTCTGAGTAAGAGCATGGTGTGTGTGTGTATGTGTGTGTGTGTGCGCGTGCGTGCGTGGGTGTGTGTGTGTGCGTGCGTGCGTGGGTGCGTGCGTGAGTGAGTGAGTGAGTGAGTGAGTAAGAGAGTGCGTGCCCGTGCTTGTGTGTGTGTGCATGTGTGCATGCTTCTGTGTGTGTGTCCATGCATGCGTGCATGCTTGTGTGTGTGTGTGCATGCGTGCATGCTTGTGTGTGTGTGTGTGTGTGTGTGTGTGTGTGTGTGTGTGCATGCTTGTGTGGGTGTGCGCGTGTGTGAGAGATTTTTAAAGTAGTGTATGATCCGGTCGCAAGTGCTTGGCAGACAGATTCTGTGTGGGGCTGGTTTAGGCTGCTGGTGTGGTCAGTTAGGGGGGGAGTTTGCTGTACGGTTTTATTCGGCCTAACAGCAGTGCTGAGTTATAATCTCAGCAAAACTGCAGTGTGGTGTACATGCACCCAGGACAGGGCTCGAATTAAGCGACGAGAAGGGCAAGGCAATTTTTGTAGGGCATGTGAGAAATCGCCTTGAATTTTCTCTAAAATGGAAGGGCACAGAGGCAATTTTAAAAGTCACCAAGGCAACTCTCAAAATTTGAGAAGAGCACCAAGGCACTTTTGTAAAATAAAGGAAAACTTATAACAAATTAGTACATCAACATCGTCTTGCTTTTAATGTAAAAACAATATGCACCCATGTAAGCTTACACCGTAACACCGACACCTGTACCCACCTCTGCTAATGGAAGTACAGTAACAATAAATTTTACATGCCCGCTATCAGGAGCGAATAATTATCCGGTGCTGTTATTATTCCCTCCTGCGACTATCGGTTTTAAGCTCATCATTGCAACTCCAGCACGCACGCGCACGTGTTATGTTGACTCGACTAAAGGCTTGACTCGAAACTATGGCAGTAGATTAAAGGGCACCGACGGAAATTACACAAAAGGGCAAGGCAGGTGACTGCTGCCGGTCGGGTTGGATTTTAAGGGGCAGTACGGCGATTGATAGGGGCACCGACAGCAATTGCCGTCGGTGCCGTCGGTAAATTCGAGCCCTGACCCAGGACACATTATTATCAAGATATATTAATATCCAGCATTGCTATTTGTGTTCATGATGAGGTGGCCAAATTGATATCATACTTAACCCAGCGTTCGAAATTAACTGTAATCCATTGTCCACAATACATGAAATTCATGGTGTATCTATAAAAAGTAAAGTATTTATTTGAACAGAAGGCCAATAAGTTTAATAAGATTAAAATCAAGTATATTTTTTCCAAAATTCCGAAATTCTGAACTACCAGAATTGCTCACAGACTACCAGATTACAAAATCTAATAGTCTGTATGACTGCCAGAAAAAGAAGATTAATTTTGCACCTTGGTTGAATAGTGGTATAATGGAAATTTCTAATCCATAGCACAGTATGGTATGTGCTGTATTCTGTTTTGTACAAACGAGTTCTTTTCTTACGTGGTTATCTAATGAAACTGAAAGTGCATGATCATGTTATATTCAATGTTGTTCGCTCCTTACCTTCATACATCAATATATATATGGTCTCAGATATGCAATTTGAATCTGAGTTTTGAAAACTATAACGTACATCATACATGTATGGCACAGTAATGTTGTTATACAATGTATATGGTTTATGTATAACGTGTGCAGATTGTGCTGAATTTCTGCCTGTTACCGATGATTTTAAAATCCTTTCAACCTTTGCAGCCGTCATGACAGATATGTCTACGAGAGTAGTCTTGTAAACCAAGATCTGTGTGACTATAGATTTAATGTTTTTTCTTGTTGCTAGTTTGTTAGCTATTGCACTGACATTGTTACAATTGAAATGCAAAGAAACTCGCAAGTAAAACTGCATCAACTAAAAGATTGCCAGCCGTACATGTGCGTGTGCATGTGTGTTAACAATTTTGTTACAGTCGGGAAATTGTCGATCTTCTAGGGAAGTCAACGTTGATGTCGGTGCTGGGACATCGAGAAGTGCCCATACCCGATCACATTGACATCTATCACCTGAAGCACGAGATTGAGGCGATGGACAAGACAGCGCTCGAGAGTGTGGTTGACGTGGACAGTGAGAAGAAGAGACTGGAGCACGAAGCAGAAGAACTTGCCCACTGCGAGGATCACGGTATGACAGGGGTAGAAATTAAGTTTTGAATACGGGAGTCCAACGGACTCCCTACCCTCAAAAAGAGGGAGTCCCCAGCAAAATAATGGAGTCCGCAGTCTGAAGTTCAAAATTAAAGATATTAACAATAACACGTGCTTATTTTGAAGATTCATGCGGTTGCACGTCTGCCAAATTTTATTTGGACATTTGCTGAAAAAATACGGTAATTCCACGTGGCCGTGCTCTGGAACGAACTAGTTGGTATAGTATGGCAGAATTTTCAGGGAGTCACACGGACTCATGCATATGTCAAATCAGGGAGTCCGACAGTAAATCAAGGAGTATTTGACTCCGGACTCCCCTTAATTTCGCACCCTGGTATTACGAGCATGACGAGCGTTTCGTTTCGTTTTCGTCACATTCTGAAACAATTTGCTTTGGCAAATACACAAGCAAATGAGAACGTCTTCCCTGATATTCCCTGATATTATTAATAAAATGAAATTGTAGTTGTGATTGCCAAATAGTTACGAGTTACTTACTCATTCACATAAGTGATTTTCTTGTTAGATTAAATAGTAAAAGTTAGCCTGTAAATTTCTAGCCCTTCATTATGACAATTCCTGCTACAAAAACAATGGGTAGAAATAGTTAAATAGTTAAATAGCTTTACTCATATTTCCTGGGATTTGCTCGGTTTTCTTTGGTCTTCAGAATATTTAGCAAAATCACCTATATGCGCAAAAAACGATTGAGATTTTGGTAGCCACAATAGACATTTATACTGTTAATGCTGGTAGCACAGTATCAAACACTAGACAGATTTTGGGTTGCTTGTCTGGCTTTGTGAAAAAACTAGTTGGGGACTAATAATTAGCTTGGATTATTCATGACGAGATATTGCTTTAGAATTTCAATTGTAATCTCATTTAAATTAATTAATCAAGTAACTTAATTATTCAATAGTTTCCATAGGTCATTAGCATGATGGAGCATGGTCTGTATGTTATGACTCATATATGGTACGTGAGAAATCTGTTTAGGCTAGTATCAGTCATTGTAGAGGATAATTTGTGCCAGGTAAAAAAAATATTGGAAATCGTTATTGTTTTAACTCTGTTTGCCAAATAATGTCTGTCGCTGTCAGTGTCCTGGTGCTGAGCTTTTGTGTCTACGTGCAGAGGCGCATGATCAGCTGTTGGAGGTTTACGAGAGGTTAGAAGAGCTAGACTCTGACAAGGCAGAGATGCGGGCCGGCCGAATTCTTCATGGTCTCGGCTTCACAAGAGACATGCAGCACACCTCCACAAAGAACTTCTCTGGTGAGTCGTATGGTCTTTGTGAGACATATCCATCATTTATAAGTTTGTCAAATGTTTTTTTGTTGTTGTAGACATGCCTAGCAGGCACCTGCCTTTGATTTTACTTTCTAATTCAGTTATGCTAGCTGTATTTCTTTGTTAGAGTTGGAAGTGCTGTATAGGGATCTTTTTAACTTATCGTTTTCTTATGTTTGCTTTGCACGCTCCTCTCTATTTATTCCATTGCATGCTCTCATTTATCCATACTTCTATCCGATTTCTATTTGTGTCATTTATCCTATCTCTTTCACAAGTCTCTTCCATCCCTCTGTTCCAGGCACTCTTATATTCTACATCTTACAGACCATTTTCCATTTTTTTTTACTTTTTAAACTTTTCCAATTTATGTTGGACCTTCACCCTAATTATCTCAGACCCTTTCCTTTTATATTTGCGATCCTATCTATATGATATTATTTCTGAACAGAGCCATGCGTGTACGTCTAAGTCGAGCGTGTCGTCAGATGTGCTTGCGGTTGTTTTCACAGGTGGCTGGCGCATGAGAATAGCTCTCGCGCGTGCTCTATACATCCGACCACACCTGCTACTGTTAGATGAACCCACCAATCACCTCGACCTGGACGCCTGTGTGTGGCTTGAAGAGGAACTTAGATCGTAAGCCCACTATATATTGTTTCGAATTCTGTAAGATCAGGAGGAACTTAATTCAGAAGTCGCATTATATTATTTCTGTTACTGTGAGACCAAGAGAAATGAGAAATGTAAATACAGTTCAGTTGTTTTGAATTATGTAAGATGAGGTGGAACTTAACTTGTAAACACTGCTATATTGTTTCTAACTCTGTGAGGCCCAGGAGAACTTGAGATCGTAAGCAGCATTATATTGTTTCTATTTCTGTAAGACCGTAGAAAAACTGGTCACAACAAGACCTGGGTCACAACTTAGATTGTTTGTCATTCAGTCGCCGTGGCGAATAACAATGGCATCTGTTTGTGTTTCAGGTACAAGCGTATCCTCATGCTAATCTCTCACAGTCAGGACTTTCTGAACGGCGTCTGCACGAACATCATCCACTTGCAGAAAAAGGAGCTGCGTTACTACGGCGTAAGAGGCTTTCACAGAGAAAAAAACCGGGAATACGTGTGATTTATAACAAAATATCAAGCTGTTGTTGAAAATATCGCAGCAAACACTTGTAACGTGGTTGTCATGTAGTACATTTGACTGTGTATGTCAATACCTTGGCCAAGTGAATTCAATTTAAATTACGTGAACACCACTGATACGTTTGCTATTGGAGATTTATGCATTGCGATAAAATCAATGTATTCCCTGGTTTTTGTTTATGAAAATCAAGAATCATTACTTTTTAAATCTAACAATTTCGAATTTAATTTAAAAAGTGAAATCAACATTCAAGGAGCCTTTTTCATAATGTCAAATTTATAGCTTTAAATTGTAATGTGCCTGAACACTACTATTAGTTTGTTGTATGGACAGCTTCATCGTTTGTTTGGTTTTCGCTAGGGTAATTATGACCAATTCATGCAAACGAGAATGGAACTGGAAGAGAACCAAATGAAGAAGTTTCGCTGGGAACAAGATCAGATAGCTCACATGAAGGTGAGTCAGAAGCCTAGGCATTACTGTGTCCTGCTGTTACAAGCAGTGTGTTTATGACTGTACATTTGTTCAAAGATAGCAGACTGGAATGTGCGAGGAGAACACAGAAGTCAAAACCCCCATTTTAAGTGGCCGCATGCTTAATTGTGGTGGCTTGGTGATACGTCAGCCCCTTGGAGTTTTACATATCATTTTGTGAATACAACTTGTTCGAATTCATATTAGGGGTACAGACCTGCATTCGGTAGTGACAGCCATCCTTACGTTTTGTGTGATTTGCATTTAGCAAACGATAATATGAATTCACGCTGGTAGTAATAATTCATTTGTGCCATCTCTTCTGCATCTGTTATGATCAACTTTATTCAAAACTGAATTTTAGTTTGGATAAAGCTGGAAATAATAGTCCAACGTTTATAAACCATGTCTTTCACAATGTCTGTGTTTATCCAGGATATCTTTCACACCTGTTCTCATCTTGCTCGTGGCTACGCGTATCTAATGGTATTTGACTGCTCTTCGATTGCAGAACTACATTGCCAGGTTTGGTCACGGCAGCGCCAAGTTGGCACGACAGGCTCAGAGCAAAGAGAAAACGCTCGCCAAGATGGTGGCGGGTGGACTTACTGACAAGGTCGAAGAGGACAGAGTAAGTAGTGTAATGCTCACAGTCTGAATGCCCATGTCAGTGCTGCATGAGAACTTTTCTTCTGTGGGGGGGGGGGATTTGACACAATGAGTGTTACATTTCTATTTGAGAACCCAATGTTGTTGTTGTTATTGATGTTGTTATTCAATAACATTGCAATTCAATATTCAATTACATTGGTAACAAGCAAATAGTTCCTATGTGTGCTGTGTCCATGTGAACATCACCATTTGTAGTACACTTTGGTAGGATCCAACTACTCAAGAGTATATTGAATCACTGTTTAAAAGCCAATGTGCATTGAAATTGCAATCACAGCATTTACAAGTTATATGGTAGAAACGCTATAATGTTTTTTCACCCAGAATTACAAGGTACATATAACCATAGTATTAAATATCTAAGTCTCACGGAAGTTTAGGTAAGATCATGCGTACATGCCTTTTTGTGACTAACACTTAATATTCTACATTACAGACGCTGTCCTTCTACTTCAAAGACTGCGGAACAATCCCACCTCCCGTTATCATGGTTCAGAATGTCAGCTTTAGATACAATGATGCGAAGGTATGGAACCAATCTAGATGCATGTGAGGTGATGTAAACGTCAATGTAATGTTCTGTATATTGCATTACTTAAATCCTTAAATGCTTCCCGGTGTTGGGAACTTCACTGCCTGTAATTCCACCAGTGCAGTTACTAGAAATTCAAAAATTATCCAGTGATATCTGGGAGTGTATGTAGTGTATTCAATGCATTTACAATTCAATCTCATCGTACTATTATAGTTGTTTGTATGTATTTAGGTTTTACGCATACAAAGACCTAGTATATGTATTCAGCACCTCTTAGTTATAGTAATTTATGGATTTCTTTATTTGCCTAAGCCTTTTATATACAAAAATCTTGAATTCGGCTGGGATCTGGATACACGAGTGGCGCTTGTCGGTCCAAATGGTGCTGGAAAGTCTACACTGCTCAAGCTGATTCAGGGAGATTTGGTGCCTACGGAAGGCATCATTAGAAAGAACTCGCATCTATCCATAGGAAGATACCACCAGGTTCGTCCACGTTAGATAATGATACCCACTTCCACATCCACGTTCCAAACCGATAAGATTTGATTAGGCACAGCAGTGCATGTGTTGACGTGCGTGCGTGCGTGCACTTACATTGTATTAGTACTTGCATACATTTGACACACGATCGTTCTTAAAACGTCCTATTGTTGACTACCCTCTCTCCGAGGGCACACCCTGTTCATGACACTTTCTCATTTTTAACACTCCCTGTTTATAACATGCACTTTGACTTTAATCCAACATGTTCTTCTCATGGTCCTCATTTTTAGCTCACCTTGACATCGTCAAGCTGAGCTATTGCCATGGGTCGTCGTACGTCATACGTCCGTCCGGTTAGCTCACCTTGACATCGTCAAGCTGAGCTATTGCCATGGGTCGTCGTACGTCCGTCCGTCCGTCGTACATCCGTCCGTTCGTCCGTCCGTCCGTCCGTCCGTCAACATTTGGCTACGGTCAACGATAACTCAGGAACTGTTTGACCCACATGTTTGAAATTGGGTATAGTTGTTACTGCTATGCTCCCATATTGAGCACGCCAGTCGACGTACTTTCGAGCCACGGCAATTTTTTGGCAAAAATGGGAATTGCCATTAATCAGTTCAGGTTCAACGGATTTTGCTCATTTTTGGTATGTGAATGAATAAGGGCTAGGGGTTTTGATATTTAAAAAAAATTATGTAAATTAGGTAGGTTTTGGGAATTATATAGCATATTATAATATAGACACGCAGATAACAGTCTGTGTGGTGTCACACTCGTCTGGTTCGTTTTACAAGATTTCATTGACAATATCTTTAATGCAAAATTGGTATTTCCTCGCCACTCTGCCGATAAAACGTCTATATTAGAGTAAAGTTTTACAAAACATGTCGTAACGCAGCATAACCTATTTATTTCGAACGCCATCGCTAAGAAACATCAAAGCGGGTATAGCGCCATCTACCGTCACAAATTGTGATTCATTTTGGTTTATAAATTATTGCGATATACAGATGGCAACCGTGTCCTACCTCCTAAAAAAACTCATGTACGAAGTAAACACTTCCATGCACCAAATTAACCTTTGACCAAAAGTTGTGATTATGGGAGGGAAACACCATTGCACGTGGTATATAGCAGCTACGTGCATAAAGCGTATCCTTCTTTCAAATCTACACCAGTACACATCGGGAGCTCGCGCTTTTAGGCAGTGCCTAAATCTGATATATAAAAACGTAATGGCGATGCATTTAGTGTAACGCCATCACTCGCCCTCACTCAAGACTTTCACAGCTCAACATTTATTTCACATAAAAAATTACCACATAATTATCAGACGTATATAAGAGTTCTCCCATATACTACTGCTTTTCATATTCTAATAAGTACGCGATGGTTGCTGCATTAAAACTGACTTCTTCCAGCTCAATTGTGTCTGTTTTGTGGGAGCTACAGTGTCATGACAGCTTTACATTAATACGCTCAACATTCTTAACAAATTTCCCTGTTGTCACCAAACACCCTCATCTTCATGCATTTACATCATACATTTATTTTAGCACAGTTTTGTATTTAACTTGCCCTGTTCTCAGGCATTTTTTGTTTTTAATATACTCATTCTTACCAAACACCCTGAACGTAACACGTCCTCATTTTTAACACACCCCATTTGCATGCAGACTTGCTTTTAAGACATTAGTGTTCCTAACACATGAATTTTCTGAATACATGCTCTTATTTTAACACACGCCGCGCCGGCGGCCGCCCCCATTTGTAATGCACTCTCCTGCGTAACACAAGTGTTCTTTACACACTCATGTTCTTAACACATCTCCTGTTTGAAACACATGCTCATTTTTAACACACACCCATTTGTAATACAGTTGCTGTTAACACACCCGTGCTCTTAAACACACCTGTGTTGTTTACACACCGTGCTCTTAACACACCTGTGCTCTTAACACACCCGTGGCTCTTAACACAACCTGTGGCTTTTAAACATGGGCCCAGTGCTCTTAACACACCTGTATTGTTTACACACCCGTGCTTTTTACACACCAGTGTTGTTTACACACCCGTGCTCTTAACACACCTGTTGTTTACACACCCGTGCTCTTAACACACCTGTGTTGTTTACACACCCGTGCTCTTAACACACCTGTGTTGTTTACACACCCGTGCTCTTAACACACCCGTGCTCTTAACACACCCCATAACTCTTAAAGCATCGCGCCGTGGATGCTCTAGTCAACTCATCGCTGTTGTTATTTAACACCACCCGTTGCTTAACATCACTCTTTTTTTGTTACTCTTAATCTGCACAGCCGTGCTTGTCTCAACACACCCGTGCTCTTAGTCTTAACACACCCGTGCTCTTAGTCTTAACACACCCGTGCTCTTAGTCTTAACACACCCGTGCTCTTAGTTCTCTAACACAGCCCGTGCATCGTTTAGTCTCTGAACCACCACCACGTGCTCTTAGTCTAACACACCGCCGTGCTCTTATCTTAACACATCCCGTGCTCTTGTGCTTCTTCACGAGCCAGCATTTTCTTGTATTGCGCACCCTTGTTTTCATTACAGCACCTTCAACGATGTTCAAACTTCGACCGATAGCTCGTCCGGCGTATCGATTACATCTTCGAAGTGCTACTTCTTTCTTTCTCAATGAGAGGATCGTGGAGATGATGAGCGATGCATTCCGGCCGGTATGGACTTACCGGCAGCCAGCAGGTATGGGCACGCTCTTTACGAAATGAACCTATGTGAAAGTAGCTATAACCAATGATGCACTAGTTTACACAGTATGCATTATATGAATATTTTGTTCTTGTCTGAAAATCTGATTTTGGTACATAAATGATGATACAGTTCTGTAATTTTCATTGGGTTTTTTGAGGTTTTTTTTATAGGGGCGTAGTCTTTAGGTGGAACCAAGTTCTCAGACCAATGTTCGAGTGAAAAAACTCTTCGTGCATTTGGGCTTCATTTTGAGGAAACCATTTCAACTAATGCAGTGCTGCCACTTTATACTTTTTAGCTAATTCTGACGTAGCAGATGCAGCTTGTAGATATCGTCATGAATGTGCCGTCCGTTCCGTCCGTTTCAACAGTCTTGGAGCAAAATCTTAAGCCGCTCGATGTATTCGGTCCTCGATATTCTCGGACGTGGGGTATCAAAACGAGCTTTGGGATGTCCGAAAGCTCGGGGGTGCAAAACGTCAAAGGTCAAGAGGTGTGAAAAGAAGGGAACACTTCCCCTCGCTTCATTAAGGTAATAGGGAGGAAATCAGAATTGGTGGCGGCACAATCTTAATCACGCTTCGACCTAATCGCTTCGTTGATAGTCTGGTGTATAGGGTGCTATCATTGTAGGTATAATAGCCATCACTGTGCGCGGAAATTGGAGTCACAGTCAAAGCGTGCAATGGGGGCAGTAACAGGGCAGATTTTTAGACATTTTCTGAGGACATGGTCTGATCGGAGGCGATTGCACTTTTGTCTTTAGCGGTGACCTTTACCATTTTTTATGGCTTTTATTGAAAGGAACCATGAAATGTACTTTCCGTTGTACATGCGAAGAGTATAGTTTCGGATAACCTTTTGACCCTCTAAGAGGATCGGTTTAAACATGGACTTGTTGATCTCGTTACAATAGGACTGAACTGCTTTGCTCATTAGAGCACTTTCAACACCCGCCCTCCTCCCCTCCCCCCCTCCCCCACCCTCCCACAACCACCCACCCTCACCCCCACCACCCGACTATCAGCTCAGCGAGCTCGACGCATATTCTAATGTTAATATAGCGAAGTCATCAAAGTTACACAGCTGTATCTTATCTACTCTACACTAGTAGGTACTAACCTATCATACGATTTTAGACTGTATTAGTAGTATCCTAGATATAGGCTCTGAGCGCGAGCAGCGGTGGCAGGAGGGCGCACATGATCGGG